TATGTGTTTTATTTTGGTTGTTTGAATTATTTTACGTTTTTGTTATTACTGGTTTTGTGTTTTGTAGTTTGTATTTTAAAATTTTAAAAAATTTAAAAAAAGAATTATAACTCAGTTTATTATTGCTTTTGCAATAATACTCAATTCAGTCACCATTCTCAAATGACTGAGTTCTTCATGCACTTAAACTGAAGCCTAATTCTATAATCATTTTATAATAAGTAATTACAATATAAATTCTGAGAACAAACATGGAAAAATCTGATAAATCATACTATGTTTCACTGTTGATACTATTTTAATTCTGCATTTGTTCCTTATTTTTTTTCTTTAATAAAAAGCTTCATAACTTTTGAAAATGGTGTAACATGAAACAAAAGAAACTTAAATGAAAATTATAGTTACTATTAATGCAATAGAATGCAAAAAAGTCCTTTTTCATTAATTAAAATGTCTTTATTTAAGCTACTCTCCTCTGCTTCCTTCAACAGGATGCCTCTATATATCTCTTGTGTAATCACATTAATAGGCAAATACATGCATGTATACAAAATATGATCTTGCATCTGATAGTAATCGTCACATTAGCCTGAAGCCCATAATCCCTGATTTGCAATGAGTATGTGTGTATGGTTTACAATCTTGTTCTCAATGACAACTATAACATTAAAATTTATTTATGTATTTATATTTCGGATTTAGACACCGCCCATCTCACGAGGAAGTGACTCATGTTATTTGTTTTGTTAACTAGAGAGGCTGAAGTAATAATGAAATCCCCCTTAATTCTATTAAAATGAACAGGATGTCCCACTAATTACAACTGGACTTCAGTTATTATTTTTCTTTGATTGGGACAAGGGGCGCTATGACTTCAGTCTCCCTATGACAGAAATAGAGAGTAAATGTCTCGACTCTGGTGGGGTTACCCTTTGCTGTTTCTTGGCCCTAAGTTATTTCACCTCAATGTTATTTATGTTTATTTATTAAATTTATAAGGCTGCCCAACTCCATAACAGCTCTGTTTTGCCGGTATTTGTTACTGGAAAAAAAGAGAAGAGCTTGCTCTTTAAAAATACAGGAAGGTAATAGATCGCTCTTTATAAGGGCCAAGCATAAGCTTAGAAAGGCATAAAGCATAGTATGTGGCATGCAGGCAGGTAACTTTCATAACTGCTTAAACTACTAAATTCTGTGTGAACAGGGGATTTGATCTGAATTGGAATCCCTAGCAAGAGACTTTAACCTGTTGCTCTTTGATAGAATTCCAGTCCAGATCAGTGGACTCTAATGTACATTTATAAGAACATTCATAGAAATATCTACTAATTTCAATGAATCCTGTTTTCATAATGCAGATAAAGGCCCTATGGGAGCCAGAGATAAAGTCCTGATTAACCAACCTCCAGTGGGGATCCTAATTCATTTCTGGTCCCTGTATATTTTGGTGTAAAGAAAAAAAAAATCTGCTAGCTATGTCTCTGAATTGTGGTAAGCAATCTAGTGCTCTTCAAAGGTGTTGGGTGTTATTCCATAGCAGCAAAGCTATTAAAACATTTGAGGGGCACCAGATTTTATAATCTTGCTCTAAAGAAACATTTTATTTGATCATATGAGGCTGAACAGCAGCAGGAAAAAGCCCCTTTAGATCTCACGGAATCATATGGAATTGCGGGAGTGTGTGTGGGGGGGTGTCTTGTAAATCATTTAGTTCAGCTTTGTTCAGACTATGCTTGAAGACCTTCAGTGAATGATAGCCACTCATCTCAAATAACTGGTCCTCTGACTGAACAACTTCTACAGTTACTTGTAAAATCTATCCACTTCTGTAAGTTAGTCCTCATTAAATCACATCTTGCCCTTTAGAACTACACAGAATATATCTTTTCCCTCTTCCATGTGATAGCTCTTAGGTATCTGAAGAGTACTTCGAATAATCATTTCCATGGTTATTCCTGAGAAACACTGGTTATTGCTGTTTATTTATGAAAGATAAAAATCCCAATTAAAATGATAGCTTTTGAAATGTAAGTTTCATTCCACCTGGCAGGAGGGGAAAAAAAAATTCAAGATGGCACCTGCAACCTCGTGATTTTTTACATGTGCTGCACATATAAAAAAGACAGGGCTTCAATTTTGGCTATCTGGACTTTTGGGGGGGCATACCTTCTAACCTACGCTATATGCCTTCAACCACTCTTCCATGCTTGAAGCCCTATGTCTCAGTCTACAAAGAACTGTTTTGTGGACACCCATTTCAGGAAATCTGAAGACAACTACTGATCTAGGATTAAAATCCCCCAAAATGCTAATGTCCTTATCCTTAGGATTCCATTAATATCTAATAGTCTTAATTGTTTAGTCCTAAAAGGAGCATGCCTAAATGTTCCTGAACATGTAACACAATAGAGAGCAGTGTAAATGAGATGTAGATTTCTATTGTTTTAATTGGAGTTGATAGTGACCATAATGCTACCTGAACAATAGATCAGGCAGTATAAACCTTTTTCTGGTCATATACTTGACTTATTGATATATAAGCCAACAAGTACTGCAACAGACACAACCCTTATATAATGAAGTCACTGGAGTGGTGGATGGAATTTTCAGCCTGAGTTTTTCACTTTCAGAAGTTCAGAGATTGGGAGACCCCCTTATTTTTAAATCCATCTATTACATCTGTGGCCAGCATGTCCCTTTTTTTTTTTTTAAACGGATGAAAAACTGCATCTGTTACTTTCTTCTTGACAGTAAACTCTGTGCTACATTTTTGTGGAGCAGCCACTGGATTATGTTTTCTGAAGAACAGGAGGCTCCACTCTTGCATCAAATGCACACCTTTGAGAAATGGGGGAAGAAGTGCTGAGCAAAGCACTCAAAAGGGACACTGCAGTAAATACATTAATAGAAGCAAAGTACTCTTCCTCCTTAAATCTCCAAAAGGCTCAGTGCAGCTTCTTCAAGGGCTTTCCCAGGACATCGATGTATACATGGGTGTGCAGAGCTGTTTTGCTTCACAGAAAGTCCTGGGTGCAGACAACCTGGGAAAGCCCCTGAAGCAGCTGTTTTGAGCCTTCTGGAGAATGTAACTGCCTTTACTTCGAACAAAAGTGCTTTTTTGTACCAATGTGTTTTATGAAGCACCCTTTCAAATGCTTTGCACAGACCTATTGGGGAGATTCAAGGAATCCATTTTTAAGTCAGACATTCCTCATTCAACAACTGTGATGGGGGAATTCCAGATGTGCTACAAAGCCAATGACAAAAGTGGGCAGGAATGTAAAAATGTGTATATCTAGGGCACAAGGCAGAGCTTGTTGGAATCTTCTGAGTACAAAACCTTTAGCAGCGCCTTAAGATCTAGCACCCAGTCAGAGCAGACACACTGAAACCCATGCAAGGAAACAGGATACATTATCAAATTCCACAGTGAATGTTTGTTGGCACAAGCATTCATCATTAATGCACATCAATGTTGTGTTTGGTTTTGTGAAAAACAATGCATAAGTTTGTATTTTTGCAATATCAGAGGCAGTTACAAGTAAAAGCAACAGAAAAAAGCACGCACAGCATGGCAATAGTTATTTCCAACCAATATATCATTGGAGGTGATCCAGTGATCTACTGGCATTAAGAGCAAACCAGAAGAGGTCAAACCATGAAACACCACCATTTAAACAACAGAATGTATTAAGATTGAACCTTAAGTGCAGGTTTCTGTTAAAAAAAAGGGAGACCATACTTAGCAATATGGAAAATAATGATGATTCTTGCTGTTTTAAATAGCATGTCATTTGCTACATGAGCATTTCACTCATTTAAAGAACATTTTGACAACATCAGTAATTTATAATATAAATCTTCAGTAATGTACAATTTACTAATAATTTTGAATATGGGCAAGAACAGAAATACAGAATACAAGGTAAAATTACCTTGTATTTCTAATCACATTTCAGTCTATGCACTTGATTAAAATAACGTATTAAACTGTAGCTTTGACCCTACATATCATCTGTTTTTAAAACATTTTTCTCCTTACTACACAGAAGATAAATAGCAGCATAGCATACAGTACAAATGCAGATTCACAAACTTCTACTTCTCTGCCTGCACTGAAGGTTAAGGTATGTCCCTTGCAAGACAACATTTAAACACACCAGTGCGCTTGTTTGCGCACATAACTTTACTGCCTTATATGAAGATGTTCAAACTGGTCAATTCCTGTTATCCAAGAGAATAGCCTAAAGAGCTGTGCTTTAAAAGAGTGTTGTTGCAAAGGTTCTTCTTGGCCAAGATTAGCACCTTGGTTCTGCAATATGTACAATAATTGCATCACTTGAATCACATTAGGAAAACTTTCATTTT